GGCCAGAAGAGCAAAAAGAAAAAAGAATCCAGAAATATGAAGATAGCATAAGGAGCCTCTGGGACAACTTCAAGAGGCCCAACATTTGTATTATTGGGGTGCCAAAGGAGAGGAAAGAGAGCAAGAAATTGAAAACCTATTTGAAAAAATATAGAAAACTTTCCCTACCTGGGGAAAGAAATAGACTTACAAGTCCAGGAAGCACAGAAGGTCCCAAACAAGAGGAACACAGAGAGGCTCACACCAAGACACATCATAATTAAAAAGAGAATCTTAAAAGCAGCAAGAGAAAAGCAGTTAGTTACCTACAAGGGAGCACCCATATGACTATCAGCTGATTTCTCAACAGAAACCTTGCAGGCCAGAAGGGAGTGGCAAGAAATATTCAAGGTGATGAAAGACATGGAACAACAACCAAGATTGCTCTACCCAGCAAAGCTATCATTTAGAACTGAAGGTCAGATAAAGAGCTTCACAGAAAAAAGGTCAGATAAAGAGCTTCACTAAAGGACTTATCACCACCAGACCAGCACTACAGGAAAAGTTGAAGGGTCTTCTTTAAGAAGAAGCTAATGAACAAAACAATCTGACGAACTAAATAGATCCAGAGACATTGACGCAGACAACAGACGATCATATTTCAGAGGAAAGAGAGAAGGAGGGTGGAGGGTGGGAAGAGATTAACCAAAGAAGTAATATGCATATATGCATAACCCATGGACACAGTCAGTAATGGGATGAAGGTCTGGGGAGGGGGTGGAAGTGAAGTGGAAGGGGTCAGTTGAGGGGGGAACGGAACACCTGTAATACTTTCAACAAAAAAGATAAATTTTTAAAAAATAAAAAAATAACTCATTCATTGGTCAGTCTCCTTGAAGATTTTTCCTACCAATTCACTGTCCACACTATGGTCACTGTGAACTTCAAGACACCAATCAGTCTGTATTATATTCCCAGTGACATTAGAATGAAAAGTTGAAGTTCATACTTCCTAACTCAGCTCATAAGGCCTCCATGAGTCCTCTCAATGTGCCTCTATATCACCATTTCCAACAAGTCTACCTCCCTTTTTGCACACCAAGTCCCAGATGTACCAAAATTATTTCATTGGTACAATGTGTCATGCCTTTAGGCTTTCACAGATGTTTACCCATGGGAAGGACACTCACCTTACTCCCTGTTCTGACTAGTTCTTAGCCTTCAGGTGTCTGTTTAAACATTCTTGCTTAGGAAGACCTTTCCTGACTCCTAATTTTGATGGAACCACTTTACTCTTTTCCCTTTGTTTAACTTAAAGCATTTAACATTATGAAATTAATTATTTTTCATACTTCTGAGCAGATCTTATTCTTTTTGGTAGGGGGATAGACACTGGTGTGCATATTTAAAGGGGGAGGTTTATAGAATCCTCTTTGATTCACTCTTAATGTAAGATTATTGGTCCTCTCATTGATGTTCACTCATAACTCACATTTTTATTGCTTAAATTGAGAAATGTTTAATGGGAAGATCCCCTTAAATTTTTGGTAACAACATCAAGCACCAAGCTGGTTCAATTTTTAAATGGCTATTTTTAAAGGGATTTTCAAACAGTTTTTCACTTGTTACAGTAATAAGAATGCTGAGTAAGATAGACCATAGTATGGCCTTTACTATATCCCTATATTTTTGCTTCAATATTTTCTCAAGAAAGAAGGAAAAATAATCAGTCGACATAAACAGAGTGTTAAAAGGTCTAATCAATAATGGAGAACTCTGGTTGAGAATATGCTCAAATTCTTGGCTTAGGAGGCCCCGAATGATATGAATTTGCTGAAAATAATTCCCCAGCAGTACCTCATGACACCCCAACTGTCCTTCAATATGGTCCTGTACTGGCATTCTTTCAGTTCCTCAAATACAGATTCTCTTTTCTTACACCTACTTTCAAGCATTTGTTCAAACTCTGGCTTTGTCTGGAATGGTCAACCTCTTTGTTTCCCTCCTATACATACTAACCATTCTTAGATTCCATTTTAGGTGCTGCTTCTACAAGGAAATCCTTCTTGTAAGAAAATGTTCACTTGTTTCCAAGGGTATCCAAATGCCATTTGCAGATGAGTAATGCCATAGTTTTTTGTTAGGAGATACTGATGGATATGTCAATATAAAGCCACAAATACCCTCAATGAAAACAGAGCATAGTTTTACCTGAAGATAGAAAAGATTCCTTATGTTGATAACTTGTAATTGGCAAAAAAAATAAACATATGATATAGGATTTAGACCCCCCAAAATTATATAATCATTATTTGTGGATTAGTGATTGTATATGTAGAAAACTGCAAAAGAATCCACCAAGAAATAATTAGAATTAATAGGTATATAAAGGTTGCTGAATAAAAGGTTGATGTACAAAATTCCAGGTGAGACAGAGGGTCCAGCTCAGACCTCAGTTCCCTCTTCCTTTTTTGCTCATGGCCCCATTTGTTTCAGGAATTTCCTGGCCTCACGCTTCAGAATTTCAACCAGGTCCTGGGCCCTGACTTTGGCAGACGGACCCAAAGAATCTAAATCCAGACGATGGAAATGAGCTTCAGTTGGAGGATTTCCTTGTTTTTTTCCGTGTGGACAGGATGTGCCTTTACTTGCTTATTCAGTAAACACCTAACTATCAGGAAAATGACAAGGTGCAGGGAGTCCAAAGAAAAAGTCCAGATCACTCCCTTTAAGTAGCAGCAGTATGTGCGTGTATACATGTCTGTGTCTGGTGAGGGAGAGTACAGTTGTTCAAAAAAAAATTAATATTTTTAATGACAGTTTGTGACCAAGGATTCGTTCCACTTTTACTCTGCCAGCTCCCAGTATCTGCTTCTAACTTTCAGCTGGGTGGGCAGTCGTGATGGGAATGCGCTGCTGAAGTACCCAGGAGCGGGGTTTGGAAGAACCCGGACCTGCAGCCTGGAGCCAGGAGGGGTCGCTCATCTTCGGGGAAAGCTGCAGAGCCCACGGTAGATGCGGGCTCAGCCTGCGCTAAACTGAGTCACAGAACCAGACATGGCTGAGCTCACATGCTGGTGGATTTACTATAGGAAACTGGCAAATGAACAGCATTAGCCGTCGTCACCCGGAAGGAACAAGGTTCGCTCAGAAGAGCCACTGGTCAGCCAGGGCTGAAGCGTGAGAGGCAAATGGTTCCTTGGACCGACAGCCAGCCGGGCCTTTGCTAATGCAGAGCCTGAGCGGCCTCCTCAGGGAGCCCCGGCCTTCGACCCGTCCTGGGACTGACTCCTGGGCCCTTTTACAGTTTTAACGGGCCCTGAGCCGGGGAAAGGACCAGAAATACCAAGATAGCAGAGAAAAAACACTGGCATGCGGAAAGGTGTGCGGCGGCCCCGTCCCCTCCTCCGATTGGCTAGGGTTGTCCCGATCCCTGTCTGTGATTGGCTGCTCCAACAAAGATGCGGCTGCGCGGATTCCGGCGCAGGGCCCTGACCGCCGCTCATTGGCTTCGGTCCTGTGGGCGGGGCCTTGGAGCCGGGCGAGAGGCGCAGAAGCCGGTCGCTGCTGGGACCTTCCTGTACCCGCGGGCGGTAAGTGCTCGGGTCCGACCGCTCGTGACGCTGCTGACACTCCGCCCAGGGGACCCGGCATCTCCGAGTTGGGCTTTCGCCGCGGGGCGCTGGTCTGAGCTAAGGAAGGAGGTGGGTAGATAGCCGTGCCTCGTCTAAAGTCAAAGGTCCCGCAGCCACCTCACTCTTGCCCCCGCCCTCCCGCCGCCCTGGGGCTCTGCCCCCGCGCCCTGGGGCCTGGAGGTTACCCTCCTCCTCCGCCCCCGAACCCGGAAGGTCGCCGCCTCCACTCACCCCCTCCCGGCTCTGTCCCTCCCCACTAGTCTTTTCCAAGCTCTGCCCCCTCCCTTCAAAGGTCTTCGCAGACCCGCTACCCACCCTGCCAAAGGCAATTTCGAAGCAATTAAATGTTTAGTAAAGTTCTGTCGAAGTAATTTATGTATAGTAAAAAAGAAAATAAGCAGGTTTTATATCTAAGAGGAATAGCTACCCGCCTCTAAATCCTTTTTGCATAGGCCACAGCTTTTAACTTTTTCATATTTAAATCTTTGTATGACCCCACTAAATCTAAATAGTATGCCTCCACTGCATTTCTTGATGTATCCTTTTGATATTTCTTACCTCACTTCCCTACTCCCACCAATTTTTTATTTCTGTTTTTTATTATTTTGTTGATCTTTGTAGCTTTCAATCATAGATCACAACCTGTATTGTGTCAGCTTTCGGTGGTAGGTCTTGGTGCCCCTCTGTCTTAAATGAGGATGTTGACACTTCTTCCACTTCCAACCTAGGATCAGCTGGACCTCAACAGTTACATGTAATTCTCATCTGTTCAAAAATATCGGGGGCACTGTTCTTGGCCTTGGGGATGTAGTAGTGATCAAAGTGGATGATGTCACTGTCAAATTTCTACTGTGGGAAGTAAGACAATAAACACATACATATCAAGTGATGTTAAAAACAGGATCATGGAGAAGTCATTTCAAGCTGGGAGAACAGCAGGAACCCAAGTGGGGCAGAATGACTAGAAATGGGTTTTGCAGGGAAATGTGGAAGTTTCTCTCTGCTCGACTGGACACAGGCGTTGTTTCAGAGATGAAGCCCAAGAGCTTCCTATTGGACTGGTTGCTGGGGAACCAGGATAGGCTTCTTCAGTGTGTTAGTGATTTCATAAAACTAGGTTTTAGGATACTGGATCCCACAGTTTGGTAGTGATAGTGGGAGGGAGGAAAAGCAGGAGGCAGAAAGGCCAGTGAAAAGGCAGAACCTCCTGCTAGCCTTTAACAGAGAGACCTGCAAAATCTACTTACTGCTTCATTTCCTCCAGAAAGACTGGGCTACCCAAAACCACAGTGATTTCTCTCTCTCACACATTTTTATTATACCTTGAAGCTGGAGAGGTTAGTAATTTGCCCAAGATAGAATGGTGGGGCCCAGGACCAAGCATCTGTAAAATGAGAACAGTAGAATAATGGTTTCTACTTAGGGTTGTGAAATAAATTGAGCTAATCCATGTAAAATGCTCAGAATAGTATCTGGCATGTGGCATAAGTGCTCAAGGAGTGCTTGCTATTGTGTGCGCTCAGTTAACAAATTATAAAAGCATTTTGAGTTTAGGAACTATTTCCCATGTCTAGCTGGTTTATTTATTTGAGAAATATTTATTCAGCAATAACTGCATTTCAGGCACTGTTTAGGAGCTGAGGATACAGCAGTGACTAAGACCAACATGGCTTTTCCCTTTACAGACTCAAGCTACTAACACAAACTTGCAAAGCGAAAAAGTAAATAGTGGCACTTGTGCCAAGAGCCTGCCATTGGCCATATAAGTTCCGTACCCACATGTGGCCCTGGCAGAAATCTCAGATTTCTCGCTGGGATAGTGACTTCATCATACAGATTTGATTAATGTCAGAAGACCTTTGTTTTTATCTGCCAAGGGGTGTTGTTTCATCTCTGCTTCTAACACATCACTGAAGGCTGAGGAGAGTGTCAGCATCTCCATGAATGCTGGTGCTGGAGAAGGGAGCAGGGGCTTTCGGGGTGTGGGGAAAGGATTGCTTGTTCTCTTGTACTTTAGTGTGCAACACAAGAAAACCAATTGAACAGATAGGCAGTGGTTCTGACATATCTTTTTGCCCCTTGAAGTATATAAGTACACATATAAATATACAGAGAGTGAGACTGAGGGTATTTCTGGCCTTATTTTAGATACTGAAACACCCCATTTTATTTGACCTAATCCAAGTTCAAGAGGAATAATGCTGATTTGAAGAGCATGATTGAGGTAGAGTGGGAATGGGCAGGTGAGCGAACCCAGAGGAGGGTCAGAGATGACGAAATGAATAAAAACAGAACTCCCCACATTCACTTGCTCCAGCATCCCCAGATGGCCCTCTGTGGTGTGAGTAATGTGGCCCAGTCAGAACGTCAGTTGCGAAGGCCACTGCTTATTAAACAAGGTCAGTAAAGGATCGAGGAATGATAGAAAGGAGGAACTTGTTTTTTTCACTCATTAATTATCAGTTTTACTGATCCCTCTGCTCCTCTGTTACCTTTTCCTCTTATTTGTTTTTCTTTTCTTCTCAGCCTTCATTACCTCTGCCTGGCTTTGTTCATGTTCTAAGGAGGGTGTGAAAAGGAGCCATGGATCCTGCAGCATTGGTGGAAGCTGTCGTGGAAGAACTGGCCTGTCCCATCTGCATGACCTACCTGAGAGAGCCTGTGAGCATTGACTGTGGCCACAGCTTCTGCCATGGCTGCCTCTCTGGACTCTGGGAGGTCCCAGGGGAATCCCAGAACTGGGGTTACACATGTCCCCTCTGCCGGACTCCTGTCCAGCCAGGGAACCTGAGGCCTAATTGGCAGCTGGCCAATGTGGTAGAAAAAGTTCGTCTGCTAGGCCTGCACCCAGGAATGGGGCTGAAGGGTAATGTGTGTGAACTCCACAGAGAACAGCTAAAGATGTTCTGCAAAGAGGATGGCCTGATCACATGTGAGGCCTGCAGCCGGTCCCCTGAGCATGAGGACCACAGTGTCGTGCCCATGGAGGATGTCGCCTGGGAGTATAAGGTGAGAAACTGAGGCTAACTACCCCAGTCCCTCCCCTGCCCTTCACTTGGCTATCTCTAAATTAAGGACTTGACCAGAGGTCCCAGAGATAAAACAAGAACTGATTCCTTTGGCCCTCATGCCCACAGAGCCTTGGGACCTGATACAGTGAGCATGTATGACCTCCTTTGACTTCCTTCCCTATCACTTCCACGCCCCATCCCGGATCCCAAAACAGCTTAATGCCTAACCCAAAGATGCTTCCTTCCTGAGAATTAGAAGGAGACCAGTCTGGATTAACTGGGGTCCTTGGTGTCTTGGATGAATTTGGGTATGAGGTCGTCAAAGCTGCACCTATCAGAACCTGCAAACTCCTAGCAATGCCACAAATAGTCATTTGACATTGCATGAGTCACTTTTATAGGTAAAACTGAGGCTTGGAAATCTGAGATCATAATTGGTTTTAGACCTAGAAGAGAGTGTGGCTGAGTCATTTAGATTTGACTTTAGGTTAAGTTAGTTAAAAGTTAGTTAAAGGAAGAGCAAAGGATACAACTCAAGCCTTGCTCATTGGCCAATATTCTTTCTCTTCTACCAAGTCTTTTTTTTTAAGGGTGGGGTGTCATCTCTGACACACCTGCTGCTCCTTTTGTATAGCTGCCCTCATCAACTTCCAGCCTCTTATATTTTCCTCAGTTGTCCATGATGACTTATCTTTACCAGAATCATTATCCCAATGACTATGATCCAGTGATCCAATACTGGTCTTAATTCTCTTTCTGGAAGTTGAGATTAGAAGGTAAGAGTAGAAGACAAATCCTCAGAATTACCTGTTTTTCTATGTGAGAAAAATTTCTAACAAATTTAAAGTATTTACTTATTTTGTTTTGAGAATATTAGAATAGGGAGGCAATATCACATAGGCATAAGAGTTACACAGCAATATTAAGTCCCACCCCAGTCATTTACGAGCTGAATAGATCTGAATGTATATCTCAGCCTCAGTTCTTTTATCTATACAGTGGGGATAATACCAGTCTCAAGAGATTATGAGTATTGAATGTATGCTTTGTACTTAAGCCTGTGTGTGGCACTTGGTAACTGTTTAACAAAATGGTTAATATTATCATCAGAATACTCTATGCTGTCTAGTAGCAATCTCTTGCATTAGTGTTCATGGATAGTACTTCTTACCTTTAATGAGCATTTGAACCACCCCAAATTCTTGCTAAAATTCAGATTCTAATTCAGGATGTCTGGGTTGGGGCTCGAGACTCTGCATTTCTAACAGGCTCCCAAGTGGTGCTGCTGCTGACCCACTTGGACCACACTTTGAACATGAGGGTTTTAGGAGGCCATAAGGATAAAGAGGTGTGATACGAAACCCAAGGAGGTCTGGCAAGCTTGGAAACAGACCTACTCTACAGAAACTTAGGGGCTGTGAGAGTTGAAGTGATTCTCAGATCAAGAGCTACTTTGGATGTCATGTGGGCAGGAAACCACTCCCTCTTTGGCATCCCTTTGCTCCCAGCATTTATTCTGGTTTATTGCCTGAGGGGTGCTTTTTTCCCCATTACCTACCAGTGTTAGGAAGCCTCATTATCAACTTGGCTGCCCAGATGGCCTCATGAGGTTTTTATCTCTTTCAGTGGAAACTCCATGAGGCTCTGGAACATCTGAGGAAAGAGCAAGAAGAGGCCTGGAAGCTGGAAGTTGGTGAGAGGAAACGAACTGCCACCTGGAAGGCAGGTTGCCACCTGGGGAAGGAGTTTGGGTGGTCCCGGTGTTGTCCTGGAGCTGGCGCATGGTAGCTTCTTCATCTCTGAAGCAGAATATGGGGTTTCAAGTCAGAGGACCAGGGGTCCTCAGACTAGCTTTCTCTACCAGGTGTGCAGCCTTAGGCAGGCCATGTACTTCTCATTTTAGTTTCTTGATTGTGATGTAGGGATAATCTCTGGCCTAATGCTCTCATATGTTCTCATACACACCTCACATATGTATTATCTCACAGTGGTATGACTTGCATAATGCTTAGTAAAACATAGCTTCTGTTTCACCTTCCCCAGTTAGAGCATAATTACTAAAAGTTAAAATACTAGAAAATCACCTCTGAAATAAATTTGAGAGCCATAGCTACCAAACTATCAGAACTTTTGATCAACAGAAGGTAACATTGAACCAGTCAAAAACAACACAGTATTGAACTGATATAATACCAGTAAGAGGCAAAAGTTTCTACCAGTGTAGTTGTTATACTGCCTTCGGGAATTAAGTGTAATGCTCTGCTCGTTATTCTGAATATAGAATATATGATTCTGAAAATAGGAAATAGTCTAGAGCATATAGAACCAAGATAATATCCTGGGTCCTACTTTAATAGGGCCCCAGCACATGGAAACAGAAAGGTAGGAAAAATAGTAGCATTTATCTTAGCCTCTTCAGTGCCTGGGACACAGCTGGTTCCAAAACATTCCTCTGTGTGCGTGTGCGCGTCCTCAGTCCTAGGTGGCCCTTACATGAACAATATCAGTGCTTATTTCTGACCTTGGCTGTGCAGATACAGGTGGAAACCAGAAAGCAGAGTATCATGTCGGAGTTTGAGAAGTATCAGCGATTACTGAAGAAAAAGCCACCAGGTCGACAGCTAGAGGTGGAGGCAGCCGCAGCTCTCGCCAGCCTGGAGCAGGAGGAGAGGGAGACCAGACAGAAACTGGAGCTGAATCATGATGCCCTCATCCAGCAGAGCCGGGTCCTGTGCAGGCTGATTGCAGAGCTGGAGGAGAGGTCTCAGAGGCCCGTCCGCTGGATGCTGCAGGTGAGTAGATCCTATATCTGTCCCCCCATCCCTTTCCCTGCTAGTGCCTGCCCTTCTCCTACCCCTGGTTGGTTGGACAACCTGTCCCACTGTAGGCATGTAGGTGGGGTGGTGCTCAGGCAGCTCGGGCATCATACCAGTCCTTCCCCTTTGGCCAGATAGTTGAGGTGAAGCCTGGAGTCAGCCAGTCCAGCTCAGCCTGCCCTGCTCCCCTCCCTTAGGCTTCTCCCCTCCACCTCTGCATACCTTCTCCAGCCTTGCTCTGTACCTCTCTTGCCCTTAGAGAAACCCCCTCCCAGAGCTCAGTGCCTGTCATACTCACGTGCTGCACTTTTTTCTCCTTCTAGGGCATTCGGGAGGTCTTAAACAGGTATGTTCCCATCCTTGGAGCCCCTAGGCAGTCCCAGGAGGGATAGTGAGGCCTGGCCAGAATAGGGGAAGAAACGGGGACCCAGTGCCATAGAAAAATAGACTGCTGGAAAATCTTCTCCCTCTTCCCTTGTTTTGGCCAAAGAAGCTTTGTTCATCTTTCTTTATCTTTGTATTTCATCAAAGAATTTCAGAAAAGTTATAAAATATAACTGAAGGAGGGAAAAACACTGCAGATGTGTCCATTAGTGCTCTAAGCTCTGAGTGTAGCCTTTCTCCTCTGTGGTACACCTGTTCCTCTCCCCACGTCAGGTGCATGTCCAATCCTTCTCACAGCACAGGAATGTGAGTGAATGTTCTCTCTGTGCCACAAACCATTCATCTCAGTAGAGTAAGCACCACATCTCTGCTTTGTCTGGTGTTGCTGGGGGGGCGGCTCTTCCCTGTACTAAGGGAAGGTCCATGTGGCAGAGCTAAGACTTCTTGCCCCAAGGCCTATCCCTCCTCTACTAGGAGCAAGTCTTGGAGCCTACAGAGGCCAGAACCAGTCTCCCTGGTTCTGAAGACAGATTGCCGTGTGCCAGGCCTGAGAGAGATCCTGAAGACGTATGCAGGTAAAGAGTGCTGGGGGAGGTTGTGTGGGCAGTGGGAGGGACCCCTCCTGGAGAAAGAAAATGCTTTGGTGCCCTCTGGATGCCCCAGCTAGCCCCACTCCCACTCGTCACTGAAAAACCCGTGGCTGTATTTATCAGGGAGACCTCACCCACGCCCCCTCTCTGTACCAACATCGCCAACCAGGATCTTTTTCCCTTTTTTCCTAGCTGATGTGCGCCTTGATCCAGACACTGCTTATTCCCGCCTCATCGTGTCTGAGGACAGAAAGTGCGTGCGCTATGGAGATGCCAACCAGAGACTGCCCGACAATCCCGAGAGATTCTACCGCTATAACATCGTCCTGGGCAGCCAGTATATCTCCTCAGGCCAGCACTACTGGGAGGTGGAGGTGGGAGACAGATCTGAATGGGGCCTGGGAGTGTGTAAGGAAGATGTCGACCGAAAGGAGGTGGTCTATTTATCCCCCAACTATGGATTCTGGGTGATAAGGCTGAGGAAGGGCAGTGAGTATCGGGCAGGCACCGATGAATACCCCCTCCTGCCCTTGCCGGTCCCTCCCCGGCGGGTGGGCGTCTTCCTGGATTATGAAGCCCAGGATATCTCCTTCTACAACGTGACCGACAACGGCTCCCACATCTTCACTTTCCCCCACTGTCCCTTTCCTGGGCGCCTCCTCCCCTACTTTAGTCCTTGCTACAGCATTGGTGCCAACAACACCGCTCCTCTTGCCATCTGCTCCCTAGACGTGGAGGACTGAGAGGCCCACCGTCCCAGCCAGAAGCCTCGGAATTTCACCTGGACTGCAGAGGTCTTGCAGGGCCCTGCCCCTGACAAAGGTCCCCTTAAACTGAGTTGAGCCTAGATTCTGGGGATTCCTCTGCCTGGCCCAGTGGTCTGCTACCCATGGGCCAGAGTCTCACTAAATTAGTCATGAAAGACGTGAGGTTTTAGTCAAATGAGCATTGTTCCCTGTGAGGGAAGTGTGACAGGGCTGATGGTGAGGATCAGAGTGACTAACATGCAGTAGCTCAGGCCCCTCTTTTTCAGTCTCTGGTGGTGCCATAATTAAGTCACTGAGGACGATGAAGTAGATCCAACCTCCTGGGAACCTGTAGGACAGTTTACCAACAAGCCAGTAGAATACTGCTCATATCCAGGGCTGGCTGCTCTGCTGAAGCCAGTCCAAGGAGGCCTCATCTGAGGTTTGCTGGGAATGAACAAATGTTTCACCCCAGCTCTCTGATCTCCGAACTAGAGAAATGCATTGCAGGTAGCCCAGAGCACTCCACTAGTAATCCCCCTCTCAGCACGAGCTGGGCACACCACTGTCTCAGACTTTGAGCAGACCTGTGTCCTGGTCCTGCCCTTCTCTCTGAGTGGCAAAATCAGCAAACCTGTGAGCTTTGGTTTTATTTTCACTTTATGGATGAAAAAATTGAAATGGCCTTAATAGAGCAAATTATTTCTCGCAGCACTGTTGAAAGAAGATTGTAGAGATTAAATATCACATTCAAACAAAACAAAATTGCCACACTTGCTTCTTAGGCCACGTGTCTGCATGTCACTCATTACATTTGGGTCTGAAACTTCCCACGCGATTGAAAGATTTTTCATCACCCATGGAAAAATAGGTCGAGTGGCTGCATATTCTCCTACCTCATAGGGTTGTGAGGATCTCAGATCCACCCCATACTTGTGTTCCTTTCTCAGGGATGCAGGAAGGAAAACTGGATGTTGCCTGTGTAACGTTCCTGCCTCACCTTCTCAGCCAGCATCTTACAGCAGGGCCTCTGTGTCTCAGGGCCTCCTGGCAGTCTAGAGTCCTTTAGACAATGTGGCCCTTCCAGGGGCAAACTCTGGGCCACAGTAATCTATTGTGCATCTGTTGTACATGTTTGTCTTTGGATTAGAATTAGGACTGTGACTGTAGGACAAAGAATGGAGCTGATAATTTTAAAAAGAAAAAACATGCCCAGGGATGAAAGCTGACTCACCCACAAGCTGGTTGGACTAAAGTTTGGATTTTATTGTGTCACCAAGGGAATCTGCATGGTTCTGGTAACTACCTAACATTCTCCCTGCCTTTGTCTTCTCTAAATTTGTGACAGGAGAAATGGGAGGAGGCAGTGTGGGGAAATGAATAGGATAGACACAGAAAGCCAGTTTGGGAGCAATATATTATAGTGAAGGGGAAATTAAGACTATATATCTGTGCTATTGACCTAGAAGTGATTGCTGTGTGGCAAAAATAACTCACTGCAGGCCTTAAGAGAGTGATGTGGGAAGATTGTGTCTGGAAACAAACTGCAAGACTGGCATATGAGAGTTAATGACTTTGCGTATTGCGAGGGGCTGTAATATGTACATCACATCATCACCATGACTGTGTGACACAACCTCTGATGTAGTTTATACTTGAAGGTAGTGACTGTTGGGTAGGATTGGGCAGCAAAGGAGATACTAGGTGATGTATGGACAGAAGCAAAGTAATTCCTGAAATAAATAATAGCAAACATTGTCTTTCTACTTTAATTGTATTGACTGTTAACACATGAAAGAGGTAAAACAGGCCAAAATGGAGAAGTAAACTCATTCTGCCCACCATGCTTCCAGGCCACTTCTTAAGCATTATCAGTAGAAGGGGAATGGACTAGTAGGTCATAGACCTGGTCTTGGCATGTGTCTGGGGGGAGCGGGGGTGTACTCACAAAGTGGTCCAGAAGGGGAAGAGACAGACAAGTAGCCATGTGGAGGGGAGAGCGCCTGGGGAATTTTTATAGACTTGAGAAATAGATCTTTAGGAAGCACTTCCCATTATACGTCCATAGACACTTAGCAAAGAGGCTATGGACAAATCAATGTTGTTCTTGTACTGTGGTTTTATTAGGACAATCCTTGGAAGGCTCAGAGAAAAGACGAAAGTGAAAAATTCATTCAAATTTAGAGTGAATTAAGGAGTGGAATAGCTTCATTTGTAATGTACTATTTTGGGCCTTTGATATTTTGGTGTGAGTTTTTGGGGGTTTTTTCCATTTATAAGCTGATTTGGGAGCTGTGATCACTTGTTAGAATTACAGGTAAATGATGTCACACTGTTTATTTCATATTTTCTGATTTTTATGACTAGGTAAAAAGATAGGGTACTTACGTTCACTTCTAAGAACTCCATGAAGACAAGACCTTACTTGTCTGGTTCACCATTGTACCCCCAGGCTAGCAGTGTGTGTGTGTGTGTGTGTGTGTGTGTGTGTAAATAAGTGAGGGAACTTTCTTATTCCTAGGATCAAAAATAACCTCTTGCCTCAAAGGAGCATGAAAGACTAGATGACACTTATTATAATCCTGTTTAAAAACTAATTTGATGGATAATTACAAAAGTGTTCTGGAAGGGGCAGAGGCAGGTGCCCTGTGGAGGTTGAGTGCCGCACTCCCTGAGTGCCTCCCATGCACCTCCAGTTTGATGTGATGATTCAGCACAAGGAGGAGTCAGGAATGAGCTTCGCCTACTTTTGTTTTACTGGCAGAGAACCAAGGGGGTGCAGTGCCTGAGCCTTGAAGGGAAAGGCTATAAAAGGGTGAAGTGCATGAGTCCAAAAGGAAAGAAGAAACAGGGCAAATCCAAGGGTTTACAACCCATGGGAAATTTAGTCTGCCTTTTTTTTCTAGCAGGATTGGTTGTAATGTCTTAAAAGCAAAATTGAGAGTCTGCTGTGGGTCACAGGCACTAGTTAAATGAGCACACACTGCTTCATGTGATAGGGTATGAGTTGTCTGTCTTGGGAAAAGCACAGGATTTTCTGTTTGGAGGTAGCTGTGGAAGGGAACCAGTTCACTTTGGAAAGTATACAGTTCAATAAGTATTTGAGTACCAACAGTGGGTGCCAGCTAGTTTTGGGGAATACTAACTTGAATGAAACACAAAGCTGTCAGGGCAGGCTTCTAATGGAAATGCTGTGAAGAAATTTCTGGTTTGGGTGCAAGCTGGACTTTACCTTTGTTGCTTTCCATCAGATATAGTCAGTTCTTTGGTTTGCTTATGAAGAAGGAATGGTGTGACTTTTCAAAATAGAAATCTTATCAAATATGCTTACCCACCTCACCTTAATTTGTTTTTATGTTACGAGGTTACAAGAAGAGAATTTCTTTTTACTATTTGGGGAGCTCAGTGCATTATCAGATTTTTAGAGACTGCTTTCTGCCCCCCTGGTATTTAGAAACAATATATTCTAGTAGATAAACAAGTCCAGTGTTAGCAAAAGATATAGATGCAGCAGATCTGTTTGGAAGAATTATTACATGAATGATAATTACAGCACTGCCATTCTAATAGTACCTAAAACTACCTCTTAAATTATGGAATTAGAAATCTATTGGGTAGCCCTGGCCAGCTAGGTCAGTTGGTTAGAGCATCATCCAGTACACCAAGATTGTGGGTTCAATCTCTAGTCAGGACACATACAAGATACAAGAAACAACCAGTGAATGTATAAATAAGTGAAACAACATGATGTTCTCTCTCTCTTCCTCTCTCCCTCCTCCCTCCCTCTCCCTCTCTCTCAAATCAATTAATAAAGTTATTTTTAAAAAAGATCTACTGGGTATATTTTTTAAATATGTACAACATGTTTATCTTATGTGCTTTTCTTATTTTATTTAATTTTCGATACCCTCTATAAATTGTCATTGTTCCATCAATAGAAAGGAGATATTAATATTCAGATATAATAACTTGTCATCAACACTATTAGGAAATTTTATTAAGATTTTCAAATGTACGAGAGTCAAATATATGCATCTCTTACATACGAAATCTTTTTTTTTTCTTTTTTAAGCATATACTGATTATTCACTTAAGACTTTCTGAAAGGAAAACATAAAAAACAACTATCTGGTGACCTGGAGAAGAGTAGTGCTATTTCAGCTTCATTATCGATACTACTCTCTATTAACCTTCTCATCCCAGAGCACACCTCCTTAGAGGTAGGTGTTCAAAAGAAGAAAGACCTATGTTATATTTGATCGCTCTCCTTTGCATTTCAGTTACACAAGCAGGACTAGGAAGAAAAATGAAGGATGCCCAAGACCAGGCTCACATTGCCTTGGCCTCTGTTGCTTAAAAGCAAAAAGCTGGTGATTAGTACACTGACTCCAAATAGCTTAACAATAGGGAATATAGTAAAAGGATATAGAGGCATCTTACAAAATTTAATAAGGGGTATATCTGAGTATCCTAAATGAAACCAGAGAACCAGAGACTAGTTTCTTCATCCCTTCTTACTCATCTGCTTTTGCTATGGAACAGATTTCTCTTTCCAAGTTCCTGTGCTAGACAATGGCCACCCTCAGTGGTCCCAAGTTTACATCTCCTCAGGTAAACTGGAATCCATTTTCATTGGAGAAGGACTCTGGTCCAGGTGTGAGCACCGGACCCCAAGTTGAGTGGATTCATCAGTGGGCCAGAAGGCAGAATCATATTAATAGCTGCTTTCACATAATCACATGAGGAAATGAACAATTCTGATAAAATCAGCCAGGTGTGAGGAGGTGCAATTTGTTTGTTTTGCAGAAGGACTGGTGGCATATTAAGTTGGAAACATGGGTCAGAAGCTAAGGAAAGAAAAACCCCAAATCTATATTCTCGGCCCCAAATTATCTCTAATTCAAATACTAGTTGATTGAAACCATTAAACATGTCAAAAAGTTAACCATTTTATTTACATTCTTGCTAGAAATTGAGAAGTTGTGCAAGGATATTCTTTACAGCTTCATCTTAGAACGCCTACGGCACCAGGTGAAGCAAACCACCTTCACAGATCTCTGACATATTTGAAACAGGCTGGAATGCTCTAGATCTGAATAGACTGCGTTCATGAAGCCAGGCGGGAGTGGTCAAAGAGACAGTGCATCAGCAAGCTCCACATTCGCTCCCGTATCTGTTTGGTCCTCAGACCATAGATAATGGGGTTTAAAGCAGGTGGGATGACCAGGTACAAGTCAGCTAGCAGTACTTGGGTGTGCAAAGGCACTGTATCCTGCCCTAGCCAGGCCACATAGATGGATGCCATCCCAGGTAGGTAGTACAGAGCCATAACCACCACGTGGGAGCCACATGTACTTAATGCTTTCAACTGAGCATTCTTTGAAGAGAGACTAAAGACAGCCCGAAGAATCAGATTATAAGAAGCAGCAATGAAGACCACATCGGAGCCCACAATAATGGAAGAACCAATCAGACTATAGAGACTACTAGGCATGGGGTCTGTGCATGCCAACTTGGCCACAGCTATGTGCTCACAGTAAGAATGGAGAACCATATGAGAGCCACAGAAAAGTAGATGACTCACCATCCAGCTCAGTGGAGTCATGAATATGACAGCTCTGATGGTGATAGCCACATTCATTCCCAGCATCACTTGAGGTGTGAGAATACTCTTGTAGTGTAGAGGCTTACAGATGGCTACATAGCGGTCAAAAGCCATGACCAGCAGCAGCCCTGACTCCATAGCTGTGGCTACATGGATAAAATACATCTGAGTGAAACAAGCATTAAAGCTGATGGAACCGCCTCCTGAGGAGAAGATGTTCACCATCTCGGGCACTACAGAGGACACCATAACAATGTCCACGGCAGCCAGAACACACAGGAAGTAGAACATGGGCTCCTGTAGAGTGGAGTCCATCCGGATTGTGGTCACTATGAGGGTATTTCCTAACAAGGCTATGATATACATGGCACTCAGTGAGATAGCCAGCCAAAGATGTGAAGACTGCAAACCTGGGATACCCACAAGGAAGAAGGTGGCAGGGGTTTCCACTGTGTGGTTGTAGGGTGGCCCCAGCATCACAGATGAGACGCTTTCCTGTTAATGCATAAAAAGATGTAAGAAATGTAAGAAAAGAATGCAGTCCTGTGAGACTCATTCCCAGCTGTGGTGTTGGGAGAGCCTGGTGGTATTTTCAGCTCAGGACCAGAAAACTGACATCTGACAAAGTTGTCCCACTTCACTTCCCATCCTCTTCATTATTTCCCTCATTATTTATTGTTACAAGACCAGCTTATGAGTTACCTCCTTTGGAAGTTTCCTCAACTCTACCTCCTCCCCATCCCATGTCGAAGCTAAATTAGGTACCTTCTGAGCTTTCATGGAATCTCCTGTGCTGACCTCTGATGGACCTAAACTGACAGTTCCAAAACTCTACTTATGACATTATGGTATACGATCATGTGTGTCTTGGTCATGGACTTATACCTTATACCAAGTTTATAACAACACATAGCTGTGGTGCACAAGTCCATTAAAAGAAGATATGTGTGTTCATTATAGGAAACAGTTAAGTGTTTTATCTTTGTTCAGTTTATAATATTTAATATTTGTTGAATGAAACAATGAACTTCCTGATATTGAACATGTCATATTTCGTATCCCCAGTATAGTACTAAATAAAAGATGAATAATAAAGCTTCCTTCTGGCTGAAGAGATGAATTAGTGGTTTCACAAAACTAATGTCATTAGAGAGCAACATTATAATTTTTCACAGGAGATAATAAGCTGTCTGGAAATGTTTATAATCCCTGCCTTTTCTTTATTTCAGCCTGAGTTTTTCTTGTTGAGCTGGGTTCAATTAATAAATTAAATCACTGCAAATAAAACTTTAGGGCTCCTTTATAGATGAACCTCCCCCAATAGGTTTTTATGGTTCTTCAATATAAATAACTCTTTCTTCATAATAAGCTACCAAGATATGCCAAACGACAATAAAACTTTATCATTTAGAATTTGGGGGATATGATTGCAAACCATGGTCTTTATTGAACCAGACAAGCCACCACCAACAACAAAGCCTAAATGTAAGAAATGCCTTATACTGGAACAGACTAAATAAAGTAATAAGCTCTGCTTAATGGTTGGATTAAAAGAACCTTGCTGTGTATAGTCACTGGGTGACCCATCTTCAGTGATAGACCATGAGAAGACAAGGGAAAGATTTTTGATATAGAATGAAAGTAAAGGGCTATTGGGTTATCAGAAATAATTCAGGTTGTCCTTGAGACTGCTGTGTGTTTTCTGGATGCCACAGACTCAGAGTTGAGCATCACTGCTTAAAGAGCTGGAGAACAGCCTGAGGGACCAGGTGCTTCTTCCCCCTGACACTTGCCTCTCTGACCCAGGATCTCCCTCTCCTGGCTGCTGCACTGGATAAACCTACCTTTCTTCTTCTGTGCACTGCTCATCCCTCCTCTTTTTCATTCCCTGGAGGGTTTTATTTTCCTCATTTCTATTTCTTCTGATTTAGTACTGCTAGAGGTTTATATATTTTATTAGCCTTTTTCAATTATGGAACATTTGGTTTGGTTGGTCATCTCTTTTTTTTTTTTTTAATTTCACTCTTCAATCTATTGCTACTGAAAATTTTCTTGCTAACAATGATCTCTATCGATGACCTGTTGCCAATCCAGTGATTTCATTTTTTTATTTTACCTAACCTATCCAAAACATTTCCCATTACTGCCTACTCCTTCATTTTTTGGCTGTTTTAATTAAAGTATAATGTAAAATACACATAAATCTCGGGTATACAGCTTGATAATGTTTTATAAAGTGAACACACAAATATCCACATGGCCACTACCCAGATCAAGATACAGACACAGTTGCTTCCTGGTTGTTAAGATGGTCTTCAGAAAGCTCTGGTCAAGAGCTCTCTTAAGACACTTCCAGCCCAGAACCAGCCTCTGCCTTCAACCCTGCGGGGACATTCACATAAAGACCTGGAGGCCCAATCACTGAAGGAAAGCTTAGACAAGTCACTTAACTCTGAAACATAAGGCTGTAATGCATAACTCATTTGATGGAGCCTTTGTGTTTATGATAACTCTATGCCTCACCTCTATAACCAAATAAAGATGCTCCCCATCAGCCCTACTGCTTTCTTTCCTTTGGTCTCTGAAGACTGTCTCTCCATTATACTATGGCTGAACTTACCCCTCTCTCTCTCAGCTTTGAACCAAAGTACTCATGTGCTCCCTGCTCCCTTTTTCTCCCCCATCCTATCTTCATTTCCAGAAGGTGATCTTGATATCAGAAGCACCCACCAGGCCTGGCCAGACCTTTATAGTGGAGATGGAGGACTTATATGCTCCTTTCTAGGTGACCCCGGCTTTCAGACTCACCAGCCCAACACCCCAGGTCCCAGGTCAATTTCCCACATCCCTGTAGTTTTCTCTACTCAACTTCCTCTGATGTGTCTACATTTCTTTCGCTCAAAAGAATGGATATTCCTACAGGACCCTTCAGGAGGAGCTGAAAGAGCAGCTTAAGATCAAAGATGACAACAGAGAGTGACCTTGAGAAGTATGGTCTCTTTCAAGATGTTCCACCAGGAGCCCTCTTCCTTCTTCAGAGTCTCTGTCATCCTGCTTTTGCCCTGGACACCCCAGTTCCCTTGTCTCTGCCCAACATACAAATGCTGTAACTCCTCCAGGGACTGGCTTTTCTCTATGCTCTGGCCCCTAAGGTTTTCCAGATTGCAGGAGGAGGCAGATGCTTAGTGGATGAAGAGTCTTTGTTTCTTCAAGTCTTCAGAGGATACCTAAGAGTAAGAAAAATGTACAGTGCATCCAGAAAAGAAAAACAAAGGCAGAGATTAGTTAGGTTTGTGAAAGCCTACTATGTGCCAAGCACCTTGCTGAACGAGTTTCAATGATCCCACTCAACTGTCACAACCCTTAAAAGTGGCTGCCATTATTTCATCTTCATTTTATAGGTGAAACTGAAGGGCAAAGAAGGTCACAAAGCTAGTAATCCAGAGTCAGGATTCGAATTCTAGCAATCATAATGCATTTCTTTGTTGTAGAACCCTTTACACTGATAATATACTTAACCTCTCAAAGTCTACTTCACTGTCCAGTTCAGTTCTTCAGTTCTGCCCAGGGGGTGTTATGGGCTTCACTGTTTCAATATTTCTCTCTGTTATAAAGTTCTATTTGAATAAAGAGGGGAAATAAAGTATAAGAGAATCAAGGAAGATAAGCTTTTCAAACTGAGAGAAGTGCATGGACCTCAGCACAAGGATATGAAAAGACAAAATATTCTTCAAACAGAGAAAAAAACAGAGAAGGGTACTTGAAAGAGAATGAAAATGAATGAAGCCAGAAAATAAATAAGATGCGTGGTCCATGTTTTAAAGATCATGACTTCTGCCTGGGCACCATCATGGTGCAATAGTAAAGCAAAGAGAAAGAAGCCAACAGGCATAAGATATAGAACTTATTTTTTTAATGACAAAGGATAGAGAGATATACAGAAATATAAAAAATCAGGAGATGATGCTATATGCTCCCAGTGCCCGAAGTCCTCAGCAGATGTGAATGGTGAGAGGTTTTTTTTCCTTTGAGGAGATGGAGAGTGCTTCATGCCTACCTCAACCTGACCCATCACATTCCTAAAAATGAATGTGGGTGGTTGAAGTTCAACTTACTAGGCTTATCATCTGTTAGAAGATCCCGTCTTCAAATCTGTGAAAGAACTAGTCCCCAAAACTGCTATGCTTAAATGCTTAAACTCTTTGCCAAGCCAGTGTTGCTCAGTGGTTGAGCATCGACCTATGAACCAAAAAGTCAGGGTTCGATTCCTGGTCAGGGTACATGCCCAGGATGTGGACTAGACCCCCAGTAGAGGGCACGCAGGAGGCAGCCAATCGATGACTCTCATCATTAATGTTTCTCTCTCTCTCTCCCTCTCCCTTCCTCTCTCTGAAATCAATAAAAATATTTTTTTAAATGTTTAAACTATTTAGCTTGTGGGTCCTGTTGCCTATAGGATAATTCAGAGAACAAGCCAGAATGTAAACCTAAATAAACAACAATGTGGAATATTGATGGGAAAAGTGGGCAATCGAATGCAGAAGGCAAAGGGGGTGCTGCCTGAGTAGCCCCAGCATGAGATAAGGCAGCTAAATTGTGACAGTACCAATGAGACAGATGGACCACCTCCCCCTGAGATTCAACCTGGCTCCTGCTAAGGCATTAATGGCAAGAGTGGATCCTCATGAACAGGGTGTGGCCTTAAACTCACCACACCCAGTACCGAGGGAGAAAGGTTTCAAAAGGAAGAAGAAGCATTCCAAAAGGGTAAAGACTCAGGATAACAGAACAATGGCACAGAAAAGGTATTCTACACAGGAGCAAAAGCTTTCAATATCTGTGATTCTCCCATCCTTTGGAATATAATAAGAAAGATTAAATCTACAACTCACTAGACCAAAGCTTTATTTGGACATGCCACCTAGGCATAAGGGCCAATGTCTGGCTAATGTGTGTAGGTGTGTTTGCATGTGCAAACAAGTGAACATGCAGGGAGGTGTTGATGCACATCCAGCTTCAATCACATAGCCCTTCTCCCTTGGGCTACTTTTCATTAGGACCCTAGAATTCTTGCAAGGGAAGAATTTCATTTTGTGCCATGAGGAACCAGCCTAATGAAAACAGTCTATAAGATTTCAGTTGCTGCCTGGACAGGCCTGGGTCAGTGGTTGAGCATCAACCTAGGATCCAGGAGATTGCCGTTGGATTCCCTGTCAGGGCGCATGCCGGGGTTGAGGGCTCAATCCCTAGTCGGGGGTGTGCAGGAGGCAGCCAATCAATGATTCTCTCTCATCATTGATGCTTCTATCTCTCTCTCTCCCTCTCCCTTCTTCTCTCTGAAATCAATAAAGACATATTTTTTAAAAAAAGATTTCAGTTGCTTTTTCACAAAATGTGTCTATTACAGAAAACAGCCGAATTTTCCATACAGCAGAGTAATTCTTAGAGTTAGATAGTTCACCAAGTCTCTTGAGGTCAGGATTTAGATAGAGACACATCAATTGTATTATATTGTATCATCGCATTAAATTTTACTTATG